ACAGACAGACAGACAGACAGACAGACAGACAGAAATAAAGAGTACTGAGAGAGAGAAAAACAGACAAAAGAAAGAAAAAGAAAGAAAAAGAAAGAAAGAAAGAAAGAAAGAAAGAAAGAAAGAAAGCCAGGACGACCCCATGGACCACACACTAGCCTCACCCAAATGAAGATGTATCACCCTAAATTAATGACCACTATAGGAACGAACCGTGGAAGAGGCGAGACAATATACTAATGCAGTAGACGAAGAGGAAATAGAAGATAATAAGAACGGGGAAAGACCAAGAAACAGCCCCTTTTCCTTCCCCTCAATCACCCCCTCTCCTCCCCTCTCCCCTATCCCCCTCTCCCTGCTACCCCTCTCTCCCCTCTCCCTCTCCCCCTCCTCCCACCCGGATCATGTGCCAGGTGGCTGAAATCGTGTTTGTGTTTTTGGGGGGCGGGAGGGGGGGATTGGATTAGGTTAGGTTAGGTTTTTGTTAGGTTAGATTAGGTTAAGTTAGGTTAGGTAAAGGTTAAGTTAGGTTAGCTTAGGTTAAGTTAAAATAGATTAGGTTAGGTTAAGTTGGGTTAGGTTAGGTTAGATTAACATAGGTAAGAGTAAGTTAGGTTAGGTTAGGTTAGGTTAGTGTAAGTTAGATTAAGTTTGGTTAGATTAAGTTAGGATTAGGTTAGGTTAGGTTACGTTAAGTTTCGTTGTGTTTCACTTCCATGTTCGATAATACAGGTCGTTTACACAACAGTTAGCATGTGTAGTGAACATAACTTAACGAGACGTTGTTGTTGTAATGAAACTGTTAACCTCGCTAAGCCTTCAAATTATTTCGCTTTTTACTCCGGTGATCAATAATGTTATTTCAGCTTAAGAACCCAGCTTATTGTTCACTCTGGATTAAGCTGAGGAAGGAAGGGTGGTATGGTGATGATGGTGGTGGTGGTAGTAGTAGTAGTTGTTGTTTTAGGAGTAGTAGTGGTGGTGGTGGTGATGGCAGGAATGGTGGTGGTGATAGTAGTAGTAGTAGTAATAGTGGTTGTTGTAATTGTTGTAGGAGTAGCATTAGTATTGGTGGTGGTGGTAATGGAGGTAATACTAGTAGTTGTTGTTGGAGTAATAGTGTAGTGGAGTATTACCTAAAATGACGTGGAGTATTACCTGGAGTAGTAGTGGCGTATTACCTAAAGTGACGTGGAGTATTACCTGGAGTAACGTGGAGTATTACCTGGAGTAGTAGTGGAGTTTTACCTAAAGTGACGTGGAGTATTACCTGGAGTAACGTGGAGTATTACCTGGAGTAGTAGTGGAGTATTACCTGGAGTAACGTGGAGTATTACCTGGAGTAGTAGTGGAGTATTACCTGGAGTAACGTGGAGTATTACCTGGAGTAGTAGTGGAGGTCGTGTTCTCGCCTCCTAACACCTTCTACCTCACTACGTTAACACTACCACAATTTTTCCTCCACCTTGAGTGTATATTTTTACCTCCAACGTCCAGGAAGGAATATATACTGCAGCTAGGTGCATGTATACTCTCTCTCTCTCTCTTTTCTTCTCAATGCTTTAACCCAGGAGAAATATAGTGCGTTAATAAATCCCTGTGTATACTGACTACTTTCCTTCTCTTCCCTCCTTCCCCATCCCATCTCCCCCCCCCACCCCCATACCTGCGGCGGGGAGGGAAGGGGAAGAGGGGAGGGGGGGAGGTACATAATTGGAATAGGGAATAATGCCTTGAGGGGGAGGTGTGGGAAGGTGGGGGGGGAGAGATGAAGGGGCGAGGAGGGAAGAAAGGAGGAAGGAGAGAGAAAAGGAGGGAAGGAAAGGGAGAGGTAAGCAGGATGGAAATGAGGAGGAGAAAAAATAGTAGGGGAGATGAAGAAGGAAGGAGAGGGAAGGAGGGAGAGAATGAAGATGAAAAGGAAGGAGAAGGAAAAGGGGAAGGAAAAGAAGGAAGGAGGGAGGGGGAAGGAAGGAAGGAGGAGGAAGAAAGGAGAGAAGGAAGGAGAGAAGGAAGGAAGGAAGGAAGGAAGGAAGAAAGGAAGGAGTACCGGTCCTCCACTGATGAACACTCTGGAAGGGATAATTGGCCAAGTCTGCTATGGCTTTAGGTGACTTGGCCTGATGATGGTGTGGGAGGAGGAGGAGGAGGGTGAGGAGGGGGAGGTGAGGGAGAAGGAGATAAAGAGGGGAGAGAGATGGTGGGGAGTGAGGGGAGAAGGGGAGAGAATGAGGTTGTGTACTTGTGTAAGGACAATTAGAAGTTGTTTGGCTTAATGGACTCGGCTGGCTAAGGCATTCTCCCTAATGGGGGGGGGAGAGGAGAGAGAGAGAGATATAAGAGAAGGGAGAGAGAGGGAGAGAAAAGGGAAGGGAGTAAAAGAAGTGAGGGAGAGAGAAAGGAGGGGAGGAGAGGAGGAGGAGAAAGTAAAAAGAAGTGCGGAAGGGGGGGAGAGAATTGCACACGACCAACTACGTGAGAGTTAGAGAGAGGGGAAGAAAGGGGAGTAGGGAGAGAGAGAGAGAGAGAGAGGAGAGAGAGAGAGAGAGAGAGAGAGAGAGAGAAAGAGAGAGAGAGAGAGAGAGAGAGAGAGAGAGAGAGAGAGAGAGAGAGAGAGAGGTGTAGGGAGAGTGGGAGAGTGTGTGAGAAGGGGAGTGTGTGAGAGTATGGGAGAGGGGAGGGGAGTATAGAGGAGTGTGAATGTGTGGGAGGTGTGTGAAAGTATGGAGTGGGAGAGTGTGTGAAAGGGGAGGGGGAGTGTGTGAGAGTATGTGGAGAGTGTGTGGTGTGGGAGTGTATGTGTGGGGAGGTGTGTGAGGTGTGTATGGGAGAATGTGTGAAAGTGTATGGGAGGTGTGTGAAAGTGTGGGGGAGAGTGTGAGGTGAAGTGAGAGTGTGGAAAGTATGGGGTAGTGTGGGAGGGAGAGTGAGTGTGTGAAAGTGTGGGAGGTGTGTGAAGGTATGGAGAGGTGTGAAAGTATGGGTAGAGTGGGAGAGTGTGTGAAAGTGTAGGGTGTGTGGGAGTGTGAGTGGGAGAGTGTGTGAGTGGGGAGAGTGTGGGAGTGAATGTGTGGGAGAGAGTGTGGAGAGATGGAAGAGGAGAGTATGGGAGAGGTGAGGAGGTGTGAGAGTGTGGGAGAGTGTGAAAGTATGGGAGAGTGTGTGAGTGTGTGGGGAGAGTGTGAGTATGGAGAGGGAGGGGGAGAGGTGGAAAGTATGGGAGAGTATGTGAGTGTGTGGGAGGAAAGTATGGGAGAGTGTGGAGTGTGGGAGAGTGTGAAAGTAAGGGAGAGGTGTGGGAGAGAGTGTGAGAGGTAAGAGTGTAAGTGGGAGAGGGAGTGTGGAGAGAGGTGAGAGTATGGAAGTGTGGAGTGTGTGAGAGTGTGGGAGAGTGTGTGAGAGTGTGTGGAGAGGGTGTGGGAGGAGTGTGTGGAGTGGGAGAGTGTGTGAATGTGTGTGGGAGAGTGTGTGAAAGTATGGGAGAGTGTGAATGTGTGGGAGAGTGTGTGAAAGTATGGGAGAGTGTGTGAGTGTGTGTGGGAGAGTGTGAAAGTGTGAGAGAGTATGGAAGGGTGTAGAGTGTGTGAGTGTGTGGGAGAGGCAGCATGTGTGAGTGTGTGAGAGTATGGGAGAGTGTGTGTGGGAGGTGTGTGGAGAGTGTGTGAAAGTATGGGAGGTGAGAGATAGTGTGTGAGTGTGTTAGAGTGAGTGTGGAAAGTGGGACTGTGAGGCCTGCCTGGTTGCAGCCTGTGCCAAGGACACTACTGAGTGTGTGTGAGTCTTTGAAGAGATCCATCAGATGTCAGGCCCGTCTGGTTTGCAGCCTGAGAAGGACACTACTGATTGACGAAGAGAGAGAGAGTTCAAATTAGACACGAATGATTACAAAAGAAAGAGAAAGAAAAATAATACAATGAACTAACGAATGAGAGGCAGGGGGAGAGATGAGACAAAGGATAATTAGGAAGGCTGAGGTAAAGGAGAAGAGACAAGAACGTGAATAATGGATGTGAATGGAGAAGATTTGATGAGGAGGAAATGAGTAGAAACCTGAACTGTGAGGTGAGTGTGTGAGGGGTGAGGGGGGTGAGGTGAGTGAGGTGTGTGAGGGTGGTGAGGGAGGGAGTGGGGGTGAGTGGGGGAGTGGGTAGTGAGTGTGTGGGGGTGAGTGGGGGATTAAGGGAGTGAGTGTGTGAGGGGTGGTGGGGGAGCAAGGTGTGTGAGTGTGTGAGGGTGGGTGGGGGAGTAGGGAGTGAGTGTGTGCGGGGTGAGTGGGGGAGTAAGGGAGTGAGTGTGTGTGTGGGGGGTGTTAGGGTGAGTGGGGGAGTAAGGGAGTGAGTGTGTGGAGGAGTGAGTGCGTGAGGGAATGAGTGAAACATCCACCTAACATACTATATCCGTTATATCGAGATCCTTCAGCTGTAAAAACCTCCATATAGCGGACTCTATCCCTTATACAGACGTGTGAATAGTGGATAACATGACCTGACCAAAAGGAGGGTCATCACAGGGTTTTAAATATCTCGTACATCTGGCAGGATTGACCTATGACCCATGACGTCACCGGTTGTTTGGATAAAGTAGTAGGAGTCAGCTGACCACCTCATGTGTACTATTTTGGCGTAAAGAAAACGATTTATGAGAACTTATAAAAAACGTTTGGTGGTAATTGTAAGGAAAACGTTTTTGGAGAGAGAGAGCGAGAGAGAAAGAGAAAGAGTGAGAGAGAGAGAGAGAAAGAGAGAGCAGTTAACTTCGTCCTGAGACAAACTAACGTAATGACCACAACAGAGACGCCCGCTGACCAAAGGTGTGTGTGTGTGTGTGTGTGTGTGTGTGTGTGTGTGTGTGTCCCTTGCCAGTCCAGAGTCGTGTTATTGCTAGTTGAGGAGAGTGTTTGTGTTAGAAGTGTGTTTCTCTACCGACACACGGAGGAGGAGAGGGAGAGAGGGAGAGAGGGAGGGAGAGGGAGAGGGAGAGAGGGAGAGGAGTTCAATTTACTGATGGCAGGACTCAGTGCCTTCTGGGCCACTCGGAGGTCCAGCCAATTACCTAACCATCCACTACCTCCGGGCGGCGTCCATCCAGTACCTCCGGGCGGCGTCCATCCATTACCTCCGGGCGGCGTCCATCCACTACCTCCAGGCGGCGTCTATCCACCACCTGGGCGGCGTCCATCCACCGCCTCCGGGCGGCGTACACCTACCACTTCCGGGCGGCATCCATCCAGCAATTCCGGCGGCGTCCATCCACTACCTCCAGGCGGCGTCTATCCACTACCCCGGGCGGCGTCCACCCACTCACCTCCAGGCGGTGGTCCATCCAGTGCACTTCCGGGCGGCGTCCATCCACCACCTCCAGGCGGCGTCTATCCACTACCTCCGGGCGGCGTCCATCCACCACCGGGCGGCGTCCATCCACCACCTCCGGCGGCGGCGTCCATCCACCACTTCCTGGGCGGTCCACCACCACTTCCGGCGGCGTCCATCCACTACCCCCGTGCGGCGTCCATCCACTACCTGGGCGGCGCGTCCGTCATCCACCACTTCCGGGCGGCGTCCATCCACTACCTCCGTGCGGCGTCCACCCACTGGCCTCCGGCGGCGTCCACACCCACTACCTCCGGGCGGCGTCCATCCACTACCTCCGGCGAAGTCCATCCACCACCTCCGGCGGGCGTCCATCCACCACCTCCGGGCAGCGTCCATCCACTACCTCCGGCGGCGTCCATCCACTACCTCCGTGCGGCGTCCACCCACTCACCTCCGGGCGGTCCACCCACTACCTCCGGGCAGCGTCCATCCACTACCTCCGGGCAGCGTCCATCCACTACCTCCGGGCGGCGTCCATCCACTACCTCCGGGCGGCGTCCATCCACTACCTCCGGGCGGCGTCCATCCACTACCTCCGGGCGGCGTCCATCCACTACCTCCGGGCAGCGTCCACCCACTACCACCCCGACGTGTCCTGCTGACAAAGGGAAGCTCGTTGTATATATCACCATCCTGAACCCTCAATTATAAGCAACGGACGTGAGGAATCCTTTGAGTGACGTGCGACTTGGCATTGAATACTATCAAGGAGTTAAAATATTGATAGGAGTGTTGACATACCTGAAGATTAGCCCCTGTAAATTATTTCACCTGATGATTAAACACCCTAACGCCACCTTGGGGAAGGGGTGCTGTTTGGGTTAGGTTAGGTTAGGTCTTCCTCTCACCTGCTCAACATGGTAATGACTCACCTGCAGGAGACACAGCGGCGCCATCACAACTTTACGCTCGGGTAGTTTTTGCTTCACTCAATCATCCAAGTTTTACTGCGTCATGGAGCTTTATAACTTATAGCGTGTGTGTAGCCCTGGCAGGGTGTGTGTAGCCCTGCCAGGGTGTGTGTAGCCCTGCCAGGGTGTGTGTAGCCCTGCCAGGGTGTGTGTAGCCCTGCCAGGGTGTGTGAAGCCCTGGCAGGGTGTGTGGAACCCTGTCAGGGTGTGTGAAGCCCTGTCAGGGTGTGTGGAGCCCTGCCAGGGTGTGTGGAGCCCTGCCCCGGTATGTGTAGCCCGGGCAGGGTGTGTGAAGCCCTGCCATGGTGCGTGTAGCCCTGGCAGGGTGTGTGTGAAGCCCTGGCAGGGTGTGTGTAGCCCTGCCAGGGTGTGTGGAGCCTTGCCAGGGTATGTGTAGCCCGGGCAGGGCGTGTGAAGCCTTGCCATGGTGTGTGTAGCCTTGGCAAGGAGTGTGGAGCCCTGGCAGGGTGTGTGAAGCCCTGGCAGGGTGTGTAAAGCCCTGGCAGGGTGTGTGGAGCCCTGGCAGGATGTGTGGGACCCTGGAAGGGTGTGTGGGGTACTTGACAGGGTGTGTATAGCCCTGGCAGGGTTTGTGGAGCCCTGGCAGGGTGTAAGAAGCCCCGGCAGGGTGTGTGGAGCCCTGGCAGCGTGTGTGGGACCCTGGCAGGGTGTGTGGGGCCTTGACAGGGTTTGTGGAGCCCTGGCAGGGTGTGCGAAGCCCTGGTAGGGTGTGTGGAGCTCTACCAGGGTGTGTGGGGTCCTGCCAGGGTGTGTGTAGCTCTGGCAGGGTGAGTGTAGCCCTGGCAGGGTGTGTGGGACCCTGCCAGGGTGTGTGTAACCCAGGGGTGGTCAGCCCTGCTAGGCCTTGGAGCCTTGCAGTGTAGGGTGTGTGGCCCGTCAGGGTGTGTAGCCCTGGGGGTGTGTGCCCCCTGCCAGGTGTGTGTAACCTGCCAGGGTGTGTGTAACCCTGCCAGGGTGTATGTAGCCCTGCCAGGGTGTGTGTATCTCTGCCAGGGTGTGTGAAGCCCTGGCAGGGTGTGTGTAGCCCTGGCAGGGTGTGTGTGCAGCCCTGCCAGGGTGTGTGTGCAGCCCTGCCAGGGTGTGTGTAGCCCTGCCAGGGTGTGTGTGTAGCCCTGCCAGGGTGTGTGTGTAGCCCTGCCAGGGTGTGTGTGTGTAGCCCAGCCAGGGTGTGTGTGTAGCCCTGCCAGGGTGTGTGTGTAGCCCTGCCAGGGTGTGTGTGTAGCCCTGCCAGGGTGTGTGTGTAGCCCTGCCAGGGTGTGTGGATAAACTACTTGTACTCTACAATCAAACCTACACCTGTGTTAATATTTTTGATAAGAATCAATTACTTACACGTTACCTGTACTTACTAACCCAACTTACCTGTACCTTACCTGTATTTCAATTAATATTCCTACTCAACATATCCCTTTAACTATACCTGTACTTCATATACCCAAACCTACCTCTAACCCACCTGTATATGTACCAACACTGATGAAAGTAAACTCACCTCACTGTACCTGTAAACTGTATCCAAACTGTATATTATAGGCACTTTAGTTTACGTGAATGTAAGCATAATTAATTTACCGAATGACCTAATTTGCTCAATATTCACTCAACTAGAAATAAAAGAGCAGTGAATTGTGCATAAATATTTGCATATCAATTTTCCGCTTATGAAATGTGGTATATAACAGCAGGTAAATAAATACACACACACAGCAAACACAGCAGACACGGCAACCACACCAACCACAGCAACCACACCAACCACAGCAACCACACCAACCACGGCAACCACACCAACCACGGCAACCACACCAACACACGGCAACCACCAACCACGGCAACCACACCAACCACAGCAACCACCAACCACGGCAACCACACCAACCACGCCAACCACAACAACCACGGCAACCACACCAACCACGGCAACCACACCAACCACGGCAACACAACAACCACGGCAACACAACAACCACGGCAACCACAACAACCACAGCGGCAAAATAATACAAACAATTTAGGTGGGCGATGGATGTTGACTACCAGAGAGAACTACAGTATAGGATTAAGAGAGTGAGGAATGGTAATGTGTGTGTGAATGTGAGCTTATGGAGGGGTGAGGGGAAGAGGGGTGAGGGGGAAGGTTAAAGGGGAGAGGGGGTAGGTAGGAGACGGGAGGGGAGGTAAGAAGGAGTGAGAGGGTGAAGGGATAGGTAGGAGGAGGGGGGTGATGGGGGTAGGTTGGGTGAGAGTGGGAAAGGGATAGGGATAGGAAAAGGAAGGGAGTGGAAGGGAGAGAGGGAGGTAGGAGGGTAAGGTGAAAGGGAGAGTAGAGGAGTGAGTGAGAGGTAGGAAAGGGATAGGATGTGAGGGGAAGGGAGAGGAACCGCATTGGAGGGGAAGGGAGAGACAAATATAAGAAGGGAGGTAAAGAGGGAGGAAAGAGAAAGGGAGCAAGGGGAAGGGAGGAAGGGAAAGGAAAGGAAAGGAGGAAAGGGAGGAAGGGGAAGAAAGGGAGAGGAAGGAAGGGTAAGACACTATACTCAGGTGCATCACAAGCTCGAGGTCGTTACACCTGCCGCTAGTAATTACCTCAAGTGATTAACCAATTAAGACCTAGGGCGGCCTTTCCCTACCCTCCACCCCCCCCCACTTCCCTCCCTGACCAGTGTTATCTCCAGTAGTAGAAGTAAGTTTGTATGGTAGTGGTGGCAATGGTAGTAGCTGTGGTGGTAGTAATGGTAGTGATAATGGTAGTAGTAGTAGTAGTAGTAGTAGTAGTAGTAGTGCTGGAGACAGTGTGGAGTGGGAATTACAAGGTCGTACTCCAGTAGAGGCAGTGTACCCTGGTGCCACCAGCCAAGGTCTTCGAGGCACTTACATTAAAGTGTCTTGTAACTTGTGATGTAAGAAAATAAGTTACTGACTCACTTAAGCTTCGACACAAAGACGGATTCTGAAAAGATCTTAAGTTACATATCCATCGTAACTTCAGATGGAAATAACGTAACTAAGACAGATTCTCAAAGAGTCTTACGTTAAATTTTCCTCGGAACTTCAAATGATGAGATAGCATTAAACTGACTAACTTAACCTACGAGAAAAAGATGGATTCTCAAATATTCTTAAGTTGATGTTATTCCTTTCAATTAATGACGTCAGAACCTGCTTAACAGACTCACTTAATAACACAACTATGACGTTAAAGTTTCGCTGAGACTCTACCTTAACTCTTCTCTTAACTCTATCTTGGGGAGAGAATTTAACTTAAGAATATTTAATACTGTTGAGGCCGCCTTCATCCTGCTAGAAAAATATTTAAGAAAATTATGTGTCGGAGTAACTTCTTCTCTGCATAGTAATAAAATATTTCACTTGTGTAGAGCCTTGTGTTCGTGCTGGCTGAAGGCTGGCGAACGTTCGTCTGGTTAACTATAAACGAGCGCTAGCAAATATTCATCTTACCGACTTCCATAAATTTCCATAAACGAGCGCCAACATGAGCAGAACACTGGCGTACGTTCGTCAGGAGACAGCCGTTGCTACACTACCTAACTTGGGTAGAATTTAACAGATAATAATATATATAATTCAGTCTCAAGGATGATATATAGAGGTCCCTTATATAACTCACTATATTATATCACACATTCCTAATTGTCTCTCAGGTTTGATATATAACAGGAGTTATATGTAATATTTTCATATTATATAGTTGTATTGTCTCACTAAAGAGATATATAGGAGGAATTATATGTAGTTTCTATAATATATACCATAGTTATATTATTATGCCTCATAGAAATATATATATATAATGCCTCTATGTTATATATTCTTATAGCCTCACTAGAGAGATATATATAGCAATTATTATATAGCATCATCTGATATATACAGGTGTAATTGTCTCAGCAGGTATCGTTTATAACAGTAAAATACCTGTTAACACCTGGCTTATGAACAGTAATTAGAGGTAAGGTGAGGTGAGAGTAGGTCAGGTTCGTCAACAAGAAGTAATTAACTCGGTAAATCACTCAGGTGAGGTAATACTGGCGTGTGCGGGAGTCTTAAAGGTAACTGAGGATTCGCCAATCACCATAACCTGCCGTAGTTATCACCTGATTACGCCAATTACGGTGTTAATTAGTGAGACACCTGAGTGTAGCGTTGGCCAGGTAAACGGGGAGGGGGCGGGGTGTTGTGTGGTGGGTGTGTTGTGGTGGTAGGGGTGTTGTGGTGGGAGTGTTGGGGGTGTAGTGGTGTTAGGGGTGTTGTGGTGGTGGGGGTGTGGGGTGGTGGTGGGGGGTGTTGTGGTGTTAGGGTGTTGTGGGTGGTGGTGGGGTGTTGTGGTGGTGGGGGTGTTGTGTGGTGGGGGTGTAGTGGTGGGGTGTGTGGTGGTGGGTGTTGTGGTGGTGTGGGATGGTGGAAGTGTTGTGGTGGGGTGTTGGGGGTGTAGTGGTGGGGGGCGGTGGTGGGGGTGTTGTGGTGGGGGTGTTGGGGGTGTAGTGGTGTTGGGGGTGTTGTGGTGGTGGGGGTGTTGGTGATGGTGGATGGGGTGTATTGTGGTGGTGGGGGTGTTTTGGTGGTGGGGTTGTGTGGTGGTGGGGGTGTTGTGATGGTGGGGTGTTGTGATGGTGGGGTGTATTGTGGTGGGGGGTGTTGTGGTGGTGGGGTGTGTGTGTGGTGGTGGGGGTGTAGTGGTGGTGGGGGTGTTGTGGTGGT